CCCCCCCCCCCCCCCCCCCCCCTTTTTTCCCCCCCCCCCCCCCCCCCCCCCCCCCACCTCTTCCTCTCTCCCTCCCATATGTTACCCTAATAAATTTCTAGTTGCAGATTGAAAATGTTAATGTCAGCTGGAGTGGCGGAAATACTGAGAAGCAGCCAAAAAGATGCGGCTGTCGTGGAATCCCTGGCTGCTCCTGCCAATCTGATTCTCCAAAAGTGGCTGGGTCTGACTCTCTTATATCCCTAATAAACCACCTCCATTTACACGTGTGAAGATCCTAATAAAAGTTTCTTGACTACCGTGCCATCTAGGGCAGACGAGATGGATGAGAACGAAGGAATTTTGGAAGGGAAACATCGAGTTTATTTATTATGCTCTCACGACACTCAACGGCAACCAGACTCTGGGAGAAGAATATGCAGGCCTCATTCACGTGGATCACACGTTCTTGCGAATCCCTTCCTTTCGGGTTGGCATGGGCTATCTACGATATTTTCGGGTCTTGGAGTCGAACCTTTTTGACATAATATTGCATCGCTTTCAGACACGACTGGTGATGGTAATGGCCAGATGTTATGGGATGCTGGCGTGCCAAGCAGTGATCAGGGAGCTGTCCAGGAATCAAGAAAGTAATTATGCAGAGGCCCAGAATTCTTGGGAAACTCTTCTGAACATGCTTCAAAGATTCCATGCGTGTCTGTTTTACATGGGCAGTGGATTTTATCATCCCGCAATGCGGCTCGCCGGAATAAACCTCGTGAGGGCTTCTTTATTGCTTAACTCGTCAGTTTCTTCTTTCAGTAGAGTCTCGAATAATGAGTTGATACGATGAGATGTGACCATGGTTTTCAGGTGTTGATCAGAAGATGGTTGGGTTCTGATGAAGGAACGTCATCGTGGCTTCGAATACTCGGCTGGATTTCCTTGCTGAATATGATCTCGGAAATCGCGATCAGACTACACGGAGTGGGCAGAGAGACGGAGAAGGAGAACGTGGGAAAGCCCACATCGGACAGGAGGGAAAGCTCAAAAAATGCCAAGCAGTGTCCCTTGTGTCTGGAGATTCGACGAAGACCAGGGTGCTTGCCCTGCGGTCATCTCTTCTGTTGGCAATGTGCCGTGAATGCTGTGTCCGTTGAGAATCGATGTCCTTTGTGTAGAGAACCCGCTTCTCTATCTCACATCATTCCCCTCATGAACTATGCCTGAGTTTCAATTGTGATAAATTTGCATGTTATTCCTTTATATTATGCTCAAGTTGTCCTTTCCTGCTACACTTGACCCATTTGGATATAATAATTCTAGGGCTTTGGGCAAGATGGGAGGCCACCAACTTATTGATTTTTTTAAAATAGAAAATAACTGCAAGGTTTGAAATGCCCGTCTATCGAGATTTCCAGGGAGAAGAATGAAGCCTCCTCAGTCATTTTGCACTTCATCTCCGAAGCTTCCACAGGAACCATGCGGTATACCGTTGCCCATCCACTTTCATCGGAAACATTTTATTCCGGCATATACGTAGTAACCTGTTGCGCCCTGGAAAATAATACAATTATTATTAGGTACTCACATTAATGAATAATCTATGTTTATTCAAGAAAGGAATTTCTTCTGTTGAACGGTTGTCAAGTTACAAGTAAAAATCAAGAACTTCCGTGCGCCCTCTGCACATTGAGCCCGACAGCTCATATTTCTCCGCTCTCGCGTAGTCGTAGGACTACGAGAGAGCATTCCTCGAAGGAATGAACCTTGCCGCGTTAAGGGAAAATACTAAAAAGTGTCTCAAATGATTCCCCAAGGAATATGAAACTTCTGAAAGGTATTGTGACGGATGAGGATGGCATCGGGAGAGTCGACTGAATGTCCCGGGTTCGGTGGTGTAGTGGTGGCACACCTGACCGGCAATCAGAAGGCCCGGGTTCAATTCCCAGCCGTTCCTTGGATTCTTTCGTCCTCTCATGCCGTCCGTCTCCCACTTTCCCTCCGTAACAGTATCATCAGATACAACAATCATTTTGCTTGTTTCATTTTTATCGGACGTGGAATTTAGCTGCTATATAGCAAATGCGTCAATTTCCGACATTTTTTTAATGGAATACTTTAGCCTCTATCTTTGCAACTATCCATGCTATCAATGGGGAGCCTTCACTTCTGGATTATTCATGGCCGAATCACCCAAGATTCGTGAAAAAATATTCGGTGTATAAAATGTGGAAATCGACGTTTCCGCCCTCTGGACGCTACAGCCAACTATATGATCCTAACAAATAAATTGTCATACTCGACGAGACTTTACAGAAAATACATTTTTCGCTAGGGAATCAGAGACATTAATCCTTTAGCTGTTTGCCAGAATTTGGGTTGCGCGCGCTGCTTGTGTAGTGGTAGCCCGAGTATGGACTTGAGTTCTGACCATTCACTGTTTCTAGGTTATTTCGCCGCTATTCATGCATATAACCGCTATCTTTTTCATGATATGACATTTTAAAATAAACCTTTGTTTTCAGTTAAGCAGTCCCAGTTTTCATAACACATAGAGGGGCGAATATTCTTTTGGACCGGCAGTGATGCGTCTGTGATTTTTCAAATGGGGAGGGATCTGCTGGCAGAAGTGTCGAGGGAGTGATGCTGGGTGAAGGAATTGATCTGCATTGGGAGGGGGGGGGGGGAAGGCGCTGACCCGTGCCCGTACGTTTCCCCCTGGTCTGTGCTTTGGGGGGTTAGCACGAGATTTGCTGGGCTGAAAGGGCGTATGGCGACAAAATAAGGGTGAGGGTGACAGTCACAGTGGGAAGGGGGGCGGAGGTGGATAAACCCCCTCGAACCCCATCCCCCGCTACTCCCACGTACGTGTCACTAGACTCAGAGCATCGTCCTCCCAGCCAGGACTCCTGAGTTATGCCGATAGATGGCAACATGATCGTCTCATCGAGCTTTTCCCTTCTTTTCGTTATGGTCGCTTCCGTGCTTGGTGCATAACCAACTAACCACCTCGGCATTTGATCACTCTATTCAAATAGACCTAGCATGGTGAGTTATATTCCCTGTTATCCAAGAGAAATAACCATCATCAATCGTATTCTTGCCAAACGCGACCGTCCAGTCGGGCGCTTAATGCGTTCTAACGCGTTGAATTTTCCGTGTTGCGTAGCATTTAGCTCAGACTTAGCCCTAAATTCGGGCAGCTTTCGATCAAGAACACGAGTACTATACCTGGTTAATTAATCATTTAGCATCAACCACACATAAATGTGGCCCTTAAATATCAAGTGCAATTCTTTGAGTGACCAAATTAAGTTACATTTATCCCTAGGTCTGGCCTTCCCGTCGTAGGCCTAAGCCTATGAACCCACAGTTACAGTTCTATATTTGTTTCCAATCCTAGCATGGTAGAAGACCTGCATGCGCTGGTGAATATTAAATGCCATGCTTAGGAAAAATAATGGTATTTCCCTTAAATAAGAGCTTTGTAACCTAGTTTTCTTCAATCATTCAAGGAGAACCACAAATTTGCAACAGAGTAGGTTTAAGCCTGCAGGATTTGCGAAGAAATATACTTTTGAGTAATTATTGACTATCTCTTTAATTTCTTTTGTCTTGCTGAAATGAGTCTCCTGAATTGTCTCTGAAGTGAAAGTCTTGGCTTACAAGTTTAGTTCATGTGTATGAGTGTGGTGGTGGTGACAGAGTAATTGTCTCACTGGATGTGTTGAAGTAAATAGACCAGGTCCAAAGTCTCCTTTTGCAGTTGTTTGTTCCTTTTCTCATGTAGTCCTAATTTCTTTTTATCCTAATCCACAGTTTCATAACATAGTATTCCTTCATCTTGTGCACACTGTCAAATCCTGTGAACACCGTACCTAAATCTAAACTTTGTTGTGTGCACACCAATTCCCGATGAGGACTGAACCTCCACTCCCATGTGCAATGTAGAATGCCCTGCCCGACATAACAGTGAATAGGGTGAATGCCCAGTAGACCTTGTTGCCCACATGTAGAAGAGATACAATTGCCTTTTCCCTTCCAATCAGGCATCAATATGCCTCAGATGTATGTGAACTTCAACTTCGGTATACCTGAACATCTAGCCCTTTGTCAGGATGCACAAGTTTCACTTCTAACTGGCACAAAACACCTGACACCATTGGTAGCTCTTGAACTCTTGCAACAAAGGAAAATCTGTTCCCACTAGGGAATTGGTCCCTGAGCCAGAAGGAGTTTACTGGTTTGTGTATCGGGTGACATTCCCCTCACCCCTATCGTTTCCCCTGTTCTATGGCCTTCATCTCATCTCTCATTGGAGATTGGGAGGGTGATACATGACACCTGTCTATATAAGCTTAGGCATGTTCATGCAGCATCAGAAGTGGGATTTTCATAGTTCCAAATCACAGAAGAATGGCAGTCTGTGATCCAGATATCGCCACTCTTTTATCTACTCACCTTTGGGATGATACTTCTGCCATTCTTGTTGAAAAACTTCCTCAAAGGAAGCCCTCCAGAGAGCTAAGACTCAGCATGTCTACATGTACCTGCTCTGTGTTGTGTCGGGGTAGCACGTTTTGTGTGGGAGTCTTGGAGAACAGCACTCACTTCTAAAGTGATGGTTGTAGGTTGTAGTATGCACACCTTGTGCACGAGCATTTGCTCTCGGGCAAATTTACACCATAGTGTCCAGGCACAAACTTAGATTGTAGCCTATCCCTACTTTCATTTGACTAGAAGTCAGTTGTTCTAGAAAATAGAATGCACTTGAGATGAAAGAGGATTTATTCCCAAATTTTTCCATTTAGAAATGGATTTTATTTTTGTTGAGAGGTAGGGTAGAGGTATCCAAACAATTATGCTCATGGTAAGCAACATTATAAAGAGTGAGATGAGGCATTATGGATGGTTTTAAATGAATTATCTGAGTTTGTGTGTGTAGTATTATCACCTGTAACACCATCTTTTCAGCTGACAGGAACAAAAAATGTTAAGTTATTCTACAATTTGGACATTTTATTTACATACATCAAAACCTTGCAGGAGCCAAAGGATAAGTGATTCTTCTGTACAGGGTGAATATTAAATCTTAAAAAGAAGCAGTTGTTCTTGCAAGTTTGCAAGTTGTCTTGCCCATTCCTTCTGTACACTTTTGTACACTTAAACTTTGCAACGAACTTGGCTACTGCACTATAAGATTGGCTGGCAATCAGGATGTTTGTTGATAAGTTGTAACTACCATCATGCGTTCCATGGACCCTGATGCAAAAATTCTTTTGTGTAGGCTGCACCATAAAAACTTGTAAAGTTTGTTCTCCATGCGTTTTTATGAAGGATAGTAGTAAGTCATACCATCCAGCTTTGATTCTGGGTACGAATTGGATTCAAATTCTTCATGGGGTAAATTCTCATCTGAGCCTGAAAGGATGCTTTTAACTTCAAGTCCAAGGGGTTAGAATAAATTTGGAATGGAACACTTCTACTTTTGATCTACCTCCTCATCCTGTTAAAAGTAGGCCTGCAATTCAAGATAAAGGTTCTACTAGTCCATCCCTGTCAGTTTTCACCAGATATTAAGATAGGATGTTCCTTTTGTTACTGTCACTCATTGTTGAAGCTCATTGACAAAAATTCAATGTCCAGTTAACTATAATTGAGGAGAAACAATTACATTTTACTGGCAAGAAGCAGCTGTTCATTTAGACTGACCTTAAAATGTACTAATAACAGTTTCCCCACCAATAGCTGTGGACGGCTACTTTCTATTGGACCATTACTAAGATCATCAGGAACTCTTTACAGGCTGCTCACAAGACGTTTCGTATAAAGCAGAAGTTGGGAAAGAAGCTGAAACAAAACAGGCCTATTCCCCAATGGATAAGAATGAGAACAGGAAACACCATCAGGTGAGTTATGCCTAAAAGGCTTTATGGCTTTGATTGCTGGAGGGGAAGGAAGTGGAAAGGAGAAGAATCGGTCATGACAAATAAGATGTTTGCTGGTCTTTGCAGATTAAGGGTGGTCCTTTCTGTGAATGAACAGAAATTATACCATTACAGTCATGCTTGGTATGAAATAGTATGTCCTCTGTTAAGTTTTTTTACAGTGAAAGCTAAGAGTGAGAAGAAAAAAGAATTCTGTTTAGATGGGACAAGTTGTAAATTCTGAGCCATCTACAAGGGATGTTACAATTTTCAGCCCAGACACTTCCATTTGTAACACTGTTGATGCTCTTCTTGTGGGAAGACTGGTGTCTTTCATAGTGACTGGCCACATTTAATCTAATTTGTCAATGATGGACAGCTTTCATTAATTTTTTTTTCAATATGTTACTGTGGGGTCAGCCAAAGAGGTATTGAAATTGAGACAAAAGCTACTATGAATTTTCTAACCTTGAAGGAATCTAACTCTGAGCAGATCTATGTGTGGCTGAGAAGAAAATGTCCTACTGATCCTCCTAAAAGATCGCCTTGGAGTTTGACTCCTTCAAGGTGAGAAAATTCATCATAGGAGTTGTCCATCATTAAAAATTAAGATTAAATATGGCTAGTCAAAGACATCTGTCTTCCCACAAGAAGAGTTAGAATGGTGTGTTACAACTGGAAGTGCCTTGAACTAGAAACTTTCTGAATCCCCCTTGTAAAGTATGGTGAGAGCATGACAAATTTGCCTTAACACCCTTGGGTTGTAGTTAGTTCAGATAATCAATGTTCTACTGCAGGAGTGCCCAACCTGTAGTCCATGGTTACAGTTCATCTGGCCCATGATGCTTTCTGAAATTTAAACAACTTTCTGGGGGAAAAATCATCAATGGAGGGGTCATGGGAGCATTATTAATATTTAAAAAAAAGGTCATATGGCATGTAGGAGGTCCTTTAGTGACAATGTGGCCTGGTTGAATGCCCTTGCGCTACTGTATTAGCATGACCCTTTGCACTCCATCATTTGCAACCAAAATACAATCCTGAAGAGTAACTAATCTTTGGAATAAAAATTTAAAAATTATTTTTGCTAACTTGTGACAGTCACAGAGCTCAAGGTGTGGTCTGTTCCATCCTCATGGAAACTTGAAAACCTGTAGCAGTACTACTGAATCTTCTTTCTTACCATTGAACTTGATCATTTCATGTATTCTGTTTTGGATAAAGTATATCTTTCTCTTACCTACTGGTATCTTTCAATATAGTGATCAATTTTAATTCTACTAATGTAGGCCCAAGAAACTTAGCAAATTGCAATACTTCTCATATTTAGTCATTTTGGTATTTGCTGTTTCATAAAAAAAAATAGGAGATGCTAAGTTGATATTTATTACATGCAGGTACAATGCCAAGAGGAGACACTGGAGGAGGACTAAGCTCAAACTGTAATGGGGAAAGGATCAAGCCAATTCTTTCATTGTGTCCATTTGGTCATGGTATGAAATGGTTTGATACATACTTTCGCAGGGAATGAAGGTTTCTCTTGCCTGACCAATCTTGTGTGGTTCATTATGTTGTATGACCAGGGGATCATTTTGTGGTGTAAGTACCAAGAAGGGAATCCCTATAAATTATGAAAAACTAGGACGTTGACCTAGATGAAGAGGATAATTTTAGGGAAGATTAGAGGATCTCCATCTCGTGTTTCTCTGTCGCGGTGGACATCGATCAAACAACGAGGGAATAGCAATGGGGTGGGGCCCGACGGATGGAGATGGAGAGAAGGGGGGGGCTGTAGCTGGCTTCCCTGGTTGGATGATGTTATCCTGGACGAGGAAACAAGTGTTGCTGTCTGGAGGAGGAGGCGGAAGGCGTGCGCCATGCATTTCAGTCCACATCCTTCCCTTCACCCAGCATCATCCTCCTCTAGATCCACCATAGTCTGACCATGGATGAAAGTTCAGAGAGCGGCGCGTTAGCTCATCTTCCCGATCAAGGTGAGTGTTTTCGTATCCTTGTTGATAAGGAGAAAGAAGGCGAGAAGTGCCATTTCCCCTGGGTTTCCTTACCGTCATATGTCTTTATGACGTGAGTTTGGCACGGATCCCGCTCCTACCTTGCCCTATGAACAAGGATCAGTTAAATACGTTTGAACTTGGACAAACTATCACCGCAAGTGAAAAAGAAAAACAGCAGATGTTTCTTTCAGTGCATGCACAGTCCACCTTATTTGGGCGCCATTTTCCGCCATCTCGGATCAACTCTGCAGTTTTGTATACACGTGATGCGTATAGTTAAGTGCACGTAGGTCTTTCTGCAACGCCCTGAGAAAATGCCTGTAAAATATTACTTGACATACTGTCTCACGTGGTTCTCGTGATATCCTCTTGTGATTATGATGGCCGATGGTCTGTACTGATAACTCCCTGGCTGGTGTCAACTCTGAGAAACGCCTATGCCTCGGTCAATGTTTCTATTTACATCTGTCAACAGCTACTTGCCTGCCGGTGGGCGCGTGTGAAAAGTAATCACATGCAATTAGCCTGTAAAAACAGAAGAGGCAACGAGAAAAGTCAGCTGGGACCCACCTTGAGGATAAAGAAGACAATGAGGATTATTTTTAACGCTCATGGTACGCGTATCTTCTTTCTTCCTGGCTTTCATTTGAGCTCTGGCAAGCGACAGTAAGATCTGTCTCTTGCTTGACATGGTGTGCACAACTTCTTCTCTTTGCTCCTCTTGTCTGCTCCGCTCTCTTTGCATTCGTCAGTTGATCCGGTCCATGAAAATTATGTACGTTGCTCAGAGATGCCCCTTTAACTGATATGGAGGGAATAGATGAGGTTTTCGTGCAAGGAAGAGATTCTCCTCGCCACAAAAGAGAGAGAGAGATGGGCGATAAGATAACGGGAGAACCTATGGGCAGGAGAGATTGATCGCCGAGACAGTCATGCAATGCTTTGGAACCTCATCTGAAGGTAGGTAGGTAGCTTGCACGCGTACATCCATGCATGCATACCCAAACCTGTAATGCGCAATCTCTCATCCTTCCCAGAATCGAAAATAACCTTTATTTCACGCCACTCGCCCGCGAATTCTTATTTGCATTGACATTTTTCCTCGCTAGTTAGTGAAGGAGGTGAAACGTCATAACAGTGTACCAACGATGGTTCAGTCAAACTAAGGCATTGTACTCTCATGACTCTTGCTCAATCGATTTGAGATGAAGTTCCGATTTTTCACTTCATTAATCTATAGTGGTATTTGCGTAACATCTTATGAAACTAAATCATTTTAGCTTTCCTCCTCCTTCCGTAGGCAACAAACGAGAGAACGTACGGAAGACAAAAAAAAAGAACAATCAAGAGTGGGGTCGGACCACTCAGTACTCAAGTGCGAATCAAAGGTGAATTATCCCATTCCATGAGCCAAGTCGCATATGGGTAATAATTTTCGATTCGGGGTTAACCCATCACTGCGACAGGACAGTACATGAGTTCACGGAGAACAAGAGGGGAGAAAATGTAAATTAAAAATGTCCCTGACAAAGACACCGAAAAAATAAAACAGGGAATTAGGCATGCAGTGGAAAGGAAGCTCCGGAAGAGAAAAGTGAATTGCATACAAATTGTTTCCCCCTAATCAAAATGTTCTGGCACAGGAAAGGTACTTTGCCTAAGGAACCTGTACTATCATTCCTCCTCTAAAAAAAGAAAACACGCGAGAACATTAAGTTTGTATGTAACTACAGAGAATTTAATCGTATTTATTCTGAAGATAACGATTGTCAACTTGCTCGAACGCACCGTCTGCGCTGGCGGCGGCGGTACCAAATAACAATTTTGCAAGGACGCTGACGAAGAATGAATGCAGCCTTGGGTGACGGCCGCTTCAACGCTTCCCTCAACTGTGCATGGTTATTAGCAATGGTACTTCAGATGGTGGCCATTATCCAAGTAAGTCAGAATAAGACCAGCCTGTTCAATGAGCGACGGAAGCGAATGCTGGTTGGCCTGGATGGGCCTTAAAATCTATTCCTTTCTACAGGGTGGCCAAGAAATACTGGGCAAAGCTATGTAGGGTGTATATCAGTGGTCGGCAACTAAATTTCACGGCGGGCCGGATGGCAGAATGCTGAACGTTCGCGAGTCAGCACCTACCAAGTGTCATTAAAATGGAAATTTTATCGAACGTCTCATGTCAAACGTGCGAACGTCTATTGTCAGACCCTAATGCCCGAAACCCAGGTCTCCGCGGGCCGCCAGTTGCCGACCACTGGTGTATATATATATATATATAAATTTTTTTTTTACAGTAGTAAAAAATAAATTGTACATAATAGTATATTACAAACTAAGGAGTTTAGAATATTCATGTCTGGTTTATGTCTTGCCTAGCAATTAAAAATAATGCGACGTGAGTGTTCTCCTTTCTTGCATGAACATTATGCACGGGTCGCAGTCACTTAGTGAATCGTCCTTGGGAATTTGGCTTTTTAAAATTCAATGTTTTGGCTTAATTCTTCACGGGATCCTGGTCTGATTTTTGGTCCCCCCCTCCCCCAAGGTTGACCCAGAATTGTTCGTTCTCCTGAAAATGTTGCGTTAGTGCGTAAAGCAATATTGTAAAGTCCACGTCGTTCAACACGAGAACACTCGAGCAATAAAAATTGAGAAACCTATCCCTCAAGCATTTTGAAAGATGATTTACACATGTTTTCATACAAGATCCAGGAACTTTTTGAAAATGACAAGCAAAACCGGATCACATTTTGTGAAACGTTTCTTCAGATGTGTGAGGGTGATGACGGATTTATCGAGAATTTCATCTTATCGGACGAAGCGCATTTTGAGTTATAGGGGGTTGTAAACAAGCAAAACACGTTTTTAGGCTGAAGAGAACCCACGGGAGTTGCACAAGAAACTCATACAGTGGCTAGTGCGCGCCAGTACTTACAAAAAAGAGGCTGGCATTCTTGTGGTTTTTTTTTAAATAGGTAAACCAGGCATGCGTATTCTCTCCGTAACACTCCTTAGTATGTTGTATACTATGATGTTATAATTATTTTAACTACTGTAAAAATATAAACAGCTTTTATTTGTGTCCGGGGACAATTTTCCAAGGGGAAAAATGAGACAAAAGGAAGCAGAATACAGTAGGACCCCGAGTTTATGAACGACCTGTTTTATGAACAAATTTTTCCGACGAAAAAAAAAAGCCTTACGATCAACGAGATGAAATCTAGTTTTTACAGTTCGTTACACCGCTAAACTATTAATAAATTAACTTCTGCATCTTGTTACCTTTTTTCTTGTCGAAAAACACCGTACCCCTGTAATTTTTTATGTTCATTTTACGAACTACTCAATCCCCAATCAGTTCACGAAATTAGGGCTCTGCTGTATTCACTCCTGGAGGGAAAAGGGAAAAAATCCGTCGTTCCCTTTCCATATCTAAGTGGTGTTCCCATTCGTGCGTGCTGCCTGTATAATCGAAGCGCCCGCCACTAGATGCAGCTAGTGGGATGAATCACTCTGTGACCAAGTTAATGTTCGTTCAACACGCATTGCTCACATAATGACCGTTAAAGTTTTAAGGATGTCTGGGAATAAAATTAGAAGTTTTCATCTAATGCACCGTGAGTCTTTGGCAATCATCAGCTAATGAAGAGCTGAACACACAATATCTGTTTCTAATGATCATTTGTTGACTCTCATTGATGTGCGTTTGGGGCATTATTGAAATGGTGGACCATCCATGGATCGCAGACTGGAGTCATGTGCCTTTGAGCGGCTCGAATATTCTAGAAAACCTCGCACCTGTGAAGTAAGGGGACAGGATTGATAATCAATTGCGGGAACAGAAGCGCGTATAAGAGAGCGGAGTCACGAAACGGTTGTCATCTCCCTCCGCCCTTTATTGGTCGTATCATTCACCAGTTGGTTCAGCTGGTCTTCCACGCAGAATGCTAGCTTTAGTTTCATTCTCAGCATGTGCCCTGGCAGCGTCATGGAACTCCAACGGGTCCTATTTCCTTACGTCAAGAAAGGTCATCCTTCGAGTCACCCTCTAGCCACCCTGATAGACCGCCGCTGATTCCTGGTTTTATCGATGACTGGACTAGCTTCATGAAGGGTATTTTTTTCCTTTCTCTGTGCAGAAATTCCATGTAATCAAGACCCAATCCCCATCCCGCTACTACGCACCACTCAGCTGCTCTTCAACAGCCGGAATGACCCTGTGGCAAGAGCCAAAGAACTCTTCCGTCTCTATGGCCCTCCTCCTGATGATGCTCCCTTCACTTTTCAACTCCCACGGTGGCCCATGGAATGCCAGGTATTATATTTATTAAATATTTTGCATACGTTACTAGGGCCACGCCGATTACCGTGGTATTGATTGAGAGCGTTCTCATCTATGATATGTCTGCATGTCGTAAAATTGTACTTCCGTCCTATTCTGTCCCCATCTTGAAAAATTCCGGTATGCATACATTGCTGACTGCAGAAGGAAAATTTGCATGATTGATGAAGGAAATTCACATGCGATAACTTTCATCATCATATATCACCGAAAAACAAGGCCTACTTAAAGAGCCCTAGCCCTTTCCGTGCCAAAATTGTTGTGCCTGAGTTCGATGCTGCCAGAACTGTATCCTACGTGGCGGATTCATACGCGCTCGATAAAATGCTTATATCTCTGGAACTAATAAAGATAATTGAAGGTGTTTTTTTTTCTCCACTTACCAAAAAATTAATTCCTCTTCCAACCATGTGCAAAGTATCCCAGGTCTAAAACCTCATGACGGCGATTGCCGTCCATGGCCACGGAAAGGGTTAATAATAGAAAACGTAATGGGGAAGGCGTCCTTGCCGTGCCACTCCGACCCAATAAGCCTATGGAGCACATCGTACATGATGGTAGGCATCACACTGTGGCACAATCCTCCCTCCCCAGCCGCTAACGGTAGGAGTGTATAACAGCATAACTGAGAGGGAGTAATGGGGCAGGTATTACGCACTTCCATGGCAACACCCACTAGCTTTCCCGAAGAGGTCTGTCGCCCCCAGCCTTTTTCCGGGAATATGAAAAGTAAATAAATAAATAAATAAAAACTCAAGGTCATGACCTAGTCACAAGCAAAAGGTACTAATGTGCCTTTTCACTATGTGTCGACTTGATAGAAGTATTGACTTGTCGACTTGATAGAAGTAGACTTGATCTGCACCCAAAGGATTTTTCCATCGCATATCCGATTTTGACCAAAGAGATTGGCAATATCACCAGTTACTAATTAGTTTTCCATGACCATTTGAATAAAAGTAAGTGGTTTGAATGAGAACTGGCAATGCATGAGATAAGCACCTGAAGCTTGGCCATGCTGTAAGAGCATCGTTAAACTGCCAAATCTAGGTAATTCCAAGTAATTTCATAACTTTTTACCATTTTCTGTTTGATTCCAGGTGTTACCAGAGAGGATTTGCCATGCTGATTTGCCACCATACCAGCCAGAGTTATTCTATGTTGCCAGTGGGTATGAGCCAAGGCCTCAGCCTGTTGGGGAAGATGAAGGCATTGTAGTTTATCAGTATCTCCCCACTTGTGCTGTCAACTATGTATGGAATTTCTATCTCCTTTTTTATTTACTCTCAGATGACGAAATGTGATGAGACAAGGAGACCATATTTATCTTTTTTAGTTTTGTCGCTCCAGTGTTGATGGTCGAGGAGTCTTAGATGATCAAGTCCTTCCTCCTCTTCCTCCACCATTGACAAGATCTAATACCCTGAGATTTGAGTCCCGCTTTGAGAGTGGGAATTTAGCAAAAGCCATTCGTATCAGTGAATGCTTCTATGAACTCCATCTACGGGCAGACTTGTACACCTGCCGGCATTGCCAATGGTTTTACTTTCGTTTGGAAAACATGCGCTCAGACCTTGTTTATAGGTGTGTAGACTACTTTGCCTCTTATTTGCCATTTGTCATGAAATGAGTTGGGTAACAGGTGTGTTTTGAATGATCATGAAATATGCTGATTTTATTTGGTGCTGTGCAGATTCTCTATAGTGAATCTATCAAAAAGAGACAGCCTCTACAACCATGGGATGCAGCCACTTCTCTATTCTGAGAAGGACTTTGTGATCCGAGAGGTTGGATGGCAGCGTTGTGGTTACAATATTGCCTACTTTCGAAACAACAGGTTTGTTACATTATAGGATTCATTGCAAGCAGTCATTGGGCAAATGGGCATGATATAGACTTACCTCTGTATGTGTATTTTTGCACCTTTCCAGCTGTGAAGATGATGATGATGATGTCTGTGATACATTCACCTTGACCTTCAACATGAAGTTTCCTCATGATGATGATACAGTGTATTTGGCCCACTGCTACCCATACTCCTACTCACAGCTCCAGGAATTCCTCTCAGCTGTCCAAGTATGATATTCTTCTATATAGGTTCTTGCCTCCTTGGCTCTTGCTTTTATTTGTGCCAATTCTAGCTTACCAATTTTTCAAACTTCCATATTATAGACCTTCTCATCTGTTTACATTGCTTTTTCCTTCTCCTCTCTATAGAATGATGTAGTTCGCTCTACATTCTGCAAGCAGCGTGTTTTCTGTCAATCTCAAGCTGGAAACCAAGTTTATATTCTTACCATCACAGACAGAAATCTTCAAATCATGGATGAGAAGGTAGATCATAAGATGTTTTTATTTCAAGCTTTTTGAATCTAAATATTGGAATTTGACTCAAACTGAAGGTAACATTCTTGCTATTGTGCAGAAGCCAGTTGTGCTATTGACGGCTCGTGTTCATCCTGGGGAAACCCCATCCTCATGGATCATGCAAGGAATTATTGATTACCTCACTAGTGAAGAACCAAATGCCAAGGTCTGCCATGCAACTGGAGGATAGACTCATTGCTATATCCAAAAGCAATTTATGTTTTTATTTCCACAGACGCTGCGAGAAAAGTTTATGTTCCGCATCATCCCCATGCTGAATCCAGATGGAGTGATAGTGGGAAATCACCGCTGTTCCCTCTCAGGCAAAGATCTGAACCGTCAATACAAAACAGTGACTCGAGATACATTCCCTATCATTTGGCATTTGAAGAATCTCATTCGGAGGTGGATTTTGGATTTGGTTCACTGTTTATCCCTCCTACATTTAGATGAGAAGTGCAGGGAATTAGTCTGATAACAGAAATGAGCACATCTATGGTTTATATTCCACATTCAGGCTTTGTGATGAAACAAACAATTACGGCGGCCAGCTGTTCCTTTACTGTGATCTCCATGGACATTCCCGCAAGCATAACATCTTCATGTATGGTTGTGAGGGGAAAGGTGAAGGAGACCTATCAGAGCAGATTTTTCCCCTTCTCCTATCCCATTCTGCCCCTCATATGGTGAGCATCAGTCATCTTTTTATGTATTTCTGCTGATAATGTGCTGCACAGCTTTACTGTTACACACACTGCAGTTCTCATTTGAGAGCTGCCGTTTCCATATTCGAAAGGAGAAGGAGGGAACAGGACGTGTGGTAACATGGGCTATGGGTGTGAAAAATGCATATACACTTGAGGCATCTCTTGGAGGAACAACTTTGAAGGGAAAGGTGAGAGAGGTTCATCCTGTTTTAATCTGAAGTATTGTGGTGGAATAAAGATCATAGTGTAACTTTCTAGTGCAAAGTTATATGGTTGTGTATTCTTTTTACAGCCAGGAAGGCATTTTTCAACTTGTGACTATAAAGAAATGGGGAAGCATTTTTGTGATGCAATCCTTATGCTTATCAATGATGACCCAGCTAAGGTATGTCCTACCCCTAGCTATTCTTATCCATAGTTTGTTGTATTCCTTTGAAAGTTGAAAACATTAGGGAATTCAGTCATTCATGCTTATGCATCTCTCAGAATATTTACTGTTAGGAAGATGGAATATGGTTATGAGACATATATATATATATATATGTATGGCTAAAATGATTATTCCTCTCTTTAATCAATCCTTCCGGAATTTTTGGAACGCCAAATGTAAGTTGGAACTCTACAGCCAGCTGTGGTCATATTTATGTTTCCTGGAGATTTGTTGAAAGCATTGAATACCCTTCTGCAGCTTGCTGTCTTGTGGGAAATCAGGAGAAGCTGCGAAGTCGCATCCAGGCCAAGCTCACAGAAAGTGGGTCATGTGCAGACTTCCCAACCCAGATCTCAATTGAAGACTTGCACAAGTAAGATTGGCTTTCTTTCATTAAGAGCTGCTTCTTATAAAGTGGACGTGTGTGAAATTTGATCAACTTGGGATCAGAAAGTTGCTTTGACAGTTCCTCATAGCAAATGATAACAAAATTTTGGGAAAAATTTTTTTGACTGATCGTGTCTGAGATACTTGGAGTTGAATAAATAGGCCAATGATGGTGCTTGCATGGGAATTTAGATCTCTTAGCTGCAGCTTGATACCTAATTTTTTTTCTTATATGTTTTTACTTTATGGTACTAAAAAGCTGATTGCAAAATATCCACAGAACCTGTAGGTCATGGGTCTATAGAGCTGATGAAGCCAACTATTTAACAGAAATCCTTGATCCTTGCTGCCTTATAACATTTAACATACATCAAGATACAGAGATGGGAGTGGTTCCAAATGAAAGCTTTCACTAAGGAGAACACACTCATAATGGTTCTATTATGCTTTTTTTTTTAGTCAGAAGTTGTCCAACTTGAAACTTTGGAAATGTTAAAAGTCAGCTATATATTCCCTTTGCCAGGTCATGGCTACATCCATGTAAGACTTATGTCTCACTTGAAATATGGTTATTTTAGAAAGAATTTCTTTTGTGACTATTTGGCTTATTGCAAATCCAATTAAATTCACTGTATCACTTGTATATCTCAATGAGTGTTTAGTTTGTTCACAGCAAAATTTTTGCAGGATTGAAAGTTACTATGTGGCAGGCAACCAATTCAAAGTTTCATAAAAATGCTGTGTTTATGTTCCATCAGTCCAGAATGTCATAAAGAAAGACTTATTGAAACTGTGATGGTAGACATCAGGTCCATGTGTGACATGAATCTGACAGGCAAATACAAGCACTCGTTATGATTAACAGCACTTTTTATATCTCATTCAAGTGAAGTAGTTTCCATCAAAAACAAATAATAAACATGATTCTTTAATCAATTATGCTTTTAATTACATTGATAAATTATAAGCTCTAATTTAAGTAAAATTATGTAAAATTATGCAGTTTCTTGCCACATAGTAACTCTCAATTCCATCAAAATTTTGTTGAATACCAAGCTTTTAGCACTCAAGATCTACAGCCATTATATCAAATGGTTTATATTATTCACAGTGAATTATATAGTCATGCAGGAAAAATAATTTTAAAGTAGCTTATTCTGACAATCATAAGATTCAATTTAAATATTCAAATTTCAGGATACCATGAATGGTCTTTCACCACTTTGAAGAGGAAGGTTACCTCTTTCAAATGAGACCAAGTTCCCATTTTTACCTGGATATAGCCTTGATTTTGGATATGGCAAATAAGGCTGAATTTTGTTATTTTCAAAGTTTCCGGCCAAATAAATTCTGCCCAAAAAACAAGACACCATAATGAAACCATTATGAATATATTCTCCACAATGACAGTTTTCATTTGATACTGCTCCCATCTCTGTATCTTGATGTGGCTAAAAGGGATATGGTAGCAAAGAACAACAATTTCTTCAAAATGGCCAACTTCAACAACTGCTGTAGGCCAACTGCCTGCTGGTTCCACATATATATTTTCACTCAGCTTTTCAATACCATACATTAATAGAATAGAAGAAAAATAAGTAGTTTGGTATCTAGCTGCAGCTGCAAGATGTGAATTTCTAGCCCAGCACCACTAGCAAAAGTAATTGACATATTTATGTAACCTTGATTGGTTGAAAGGCATGATTGGTTGAAAAATTTTCCTAGAATTTACAATTCACTGTGAGGAAAAAGTTTTAATATCAAGTTCCTAATTCCAAGTTGGTCAATTATGATTAAAAGCTGGAAAACTTGTCCAATTTATAAAAAGCAGCTCTTAAGCACTCTTATACAGAGTTTGTGCTATGATGATTTGGTAAAAGGGATGAATGGTGGATGCTGTGGACCTGTCAGGATGCTCGTTGCCATAACTTCAGCACTGGTGTGGCTCATTTTCCTCCTGACTACATTAGAAATTGAGCTGCTTACCTGATGGTTTCTGAAGCATTGGAATCATCTTGGTATCCTCTGAATTGAAGGAGGCTCAGAGATCCCTTTCCTTCCCTCATACCCCTTTTACCCTGGGACATATCCACATGTCCCTTAGTATCCTTTCCCCATGATTCCTTGACCCAAAATTATCATCCTACCTATGGACTATGTCAACAGCTTCAACCTTGACATAAATCAAGACTCTGAGCAAGATTGCATTGTAAATTTATTAAAGGCATTTACATGGCTGAAATAAGATGGTGTGAAAGGATGTGATTTGCTTTTATGGTAGGGAAAGTGAAGAAGACACAGAATGTGGTGAAAGTGAGTCCGACAACCATTTGTCAATAAAGAAGAGAGCAATGAAAAATAAGAAGAAGAAGCAAGAAATGATAGAGAAGGAAGAGGCAGTAAGTACTTCATAATATCTGATCTTGTACTTCATTATCTTTAGCTCAGGGAACAAAGAGAAGCAATAATTTTACAGTTGCAGGGTCTAACAGGCATGGAGGCTTCAAAGATGGAACAAAAAGAAGAGGAGATTGTGAGAAAGAAGGGAACTAGTGAGGTTGGGGAGAAGAAGTCAGGGAAAAGAAAAAAGCCCAAAGGAAGGAAATTGGCTCATGTTGCAATGGGGAGATGTGTCCGCATGGCAAAAATAACTAACTTCCTTGCATTGGAAGGTTCGAAGAAAAAAGGATCCCGTCATATGCATCGCAGAGTTGAAGAAATCACTCTTGTGTCAGAGGTGAGGACAATAACTTGAGTCAGTCTGTGTATTAGCAACCTCAGTATTAGTAAGTGGGTATGATATATATATATGTTGTGCTAATTTTTGAGTTTGAATTAAACATAAACTCAAAATAGAAGTATAAACTCAAAAAAGAGTAGTACATTTCTGTAACTAAACACTAATTATTACTCTCACAAAAAAATTCCTCACTTCAAGGGTAGACTTAACCCTTTCCTGGTCCATGGGGTGATTTAACACCATCCATTTCCCAACAGTTGCAGATTCATGGCAGGTTTTATGCTATGGTGCAGGCTTCTGTTCTGGAGGCTCCTACCATATTCTGGATTTATCTCTGACTACAACAACTTAGCAATGCATCTATACATGTTCATTCTTCAACTAGATGTAACTGTTGGGAAAGGGACAGTGTTAAATCACGCCACAGACCGGGAAAGGGTTAACTAATATGGGCATATATGTACATCCACTACTTCAAGGATACCTCCTTTGATACCTCCATCCATAATCCATGGTGTAGTAAGTGTAAATAAATTGAGTCAGACAATGACATTCATTTCATATCTCTTTGTAACCTTAACTGAAAAAGTAAATGCATATAATACTAATTAATACCATCTTTCATCAAACTGACTGCCTGTCAAAGTGAAATGATTCCACAGTGAAATGGTTAAAGTTCTCCAAAAGATCATGTGTATTTTACTCTAATCATTACTTGGTTCAATGTAAGGTTGTTTCTCCCATGTAGGTGGATAGTGGAAGTATTGAAATGCCTTCAATCCCCAACTTCAATCTTCCCAATGCCAAAGTGGAGGGTAATATCCTGATGGCATCTCCTTCATATCCCAAGGTTTGATCATTTTAACTCAATTTATATAAAAAATCATGTAAAATCATGTAAAAATCATGAATGTAACATGACTGGTTTGACTGATCTTAGTTGGAAGAACACTTCTCCCGAGTGTTGATGATGAGAGGGAGCTCTTTGCCATCTTCTCCTCAGCATCATTTGTCACCATCTCCTCCCAAGCTACACACTCAAGAGAGGTGAGTTTTGTTGAGATTAATTAGCAAATATAGCAAAGTATGTCACACCAGAAAAAAGGCATCTCAGATGCTTAGATGGAGGTGTGTATGGGAAAAATAGAATCCATAGAATCACTGTAGGGAATTTCCATGCTCCACTTCAATGATGCTGATCGATTAAGAGTTACAGGTTTCATCCTCATGGAAAGTGAAGGATCATAGCTCTTCCCCTCATGACAGTTCTTGTTTGTCATTCCTTGATGGCAGTGAAATCAAAACTACTGTCTAGTGACATGAAATAGCAACTTTGTTTTCACAAAAAAATTACTATTGCCCAAGGCATGAAATTGTAGCTGAATCTGTCCTCATAGTATTTAAGTGTACAATGAAAATGTATGCTTTTAATCTGCAGATTAGTAGCACATAGCAAATAGCACTGTTTAGCATTAAAGGGTGGAGATTTTCCTCTTTATTATCCAGGGTAAAATAATAAAATTTGTTTTTTTACTGGAAGGTCTCACACATAAATTAAAATGTAAGGTTTTATCAACCCAAAAAGCAAGAATAGCAAGTAACTCTCATCAGATTTTTATTTTTCTTGCTTTGGTTTTCTGTGCTGCCCAGTCAGATGATGCTTCCCTCCCATGTATTTCAGTTTTTATAAATCTGCCTTCCATAATCATTCTCCTTATCTGTATGTTTTCAATATAGTTTGCTAAATGGCTCTTGACTGAGTGCACACCTGCTAGATGGGTTGAACATTGTTAAGGGGAAAGCAGGTGTCCAGCTTCCTCTGTCCTCTTGTCAATTCTGTTTTATTTTTTTGCTTTGTTTTCTTCCCTTTGATGATTTGAAGGAGCCACAGGCCCTCATTGGTCTTGAATAAGTCTGTTTCACTTTTCCCATCCTTTCTTGAGAAGCATCTTCATACTTCTTGGAATGATACTTTGTGTCAGGCATAACTCCCTCACTGAGATGTGGGGTAACTTTTCTCATATGTATAAACCCAATAAACTTTTTATGAAAGTGAAAATGATATATGCAATATCCTTGGTTCTATGCATCATTAGCTTGTGTTGGAAACAGAAATGAGGAATGCAATATGAAACAATGCAGCTTAATATTATTTGGAATGAGACTTCTTAAAGAGAATGAATTTTCTGGCTTCACAGCCTGGATGACCCAGATGCCTTTATTTTCATGGGTTCCTGGTTTTAGTAGGCCCAGGAGTTTTTTTCGTTGTTTCAAACCCTGATAGGTGAATGATACTGTTTGTTGTATCTCATTCAAAGTATTGAAGCACATCCCTTTATCCATTTTGTTCAGAAGATGAAGACTTTCAAAGCATAAAGTAGCCCTGCTAATTGATAAAATTAATTGATTGTAGATTGTTTGAATATTTGATTGAATATTGTAGATGTATGGGCTACAACTAATGTAATTGTAACCCCTTCAATAAATTAATCAGATTTCAATATAGCCCTTTGTTTCTTCCCTGACCTGCCCTCACCCCTGTCACATGTCTTCACTTGAATGGAAAGGACTTCAGGGAAATTTGGAATAAGAGGTATGCACCTGCACACCTCTTATTTTTCCCTACTATCCTGGCAGAACTTCCTTTTCCTGTTGTCTAACTTGAAAGGATGAGCATGGGAGAATCTTGTTTGACATGGTGACTTACTGATTTTGATGTAAATACAGGATGAGTCAAAAGTCCAGTCTCATAGGAAACATGTGTATTTACAAGCAGTTTTCAAATTGCATGCCCTGGAAATAGGAACAGATGTTCACACAATAAAGGAAGCCTTTCCTCATGCACTGAAAGGTGTTGGGTGTGATTGCTGCACATTCATTACACACATTGCATAAAAATTGTTTATTGTACAAAAGGTGGTCAGCCCCTATGAGACTGGACTTTTGACTCACTCTGTAAGTGGGTCCTCACTTTTATGGGGTTAACATAAAGCCTAGGACTCAGTTGATCTCCTCTAGTAGCTTCTGTCCTAATTTCTGGCTGTGCAATAACTTCCTGTGGTGAAATGCGCAAATATTTCAGATTTGGATACTCATTCAAGTCCTGGTTTTGCTAATCATCCTCATTATGTTAATCATTGTTAGCTTTTGGTTCCCTTCCATTCTTGGGTCCAGGCCTACACATGTACTTGGGATAACCTAGGTCAACTCTAACAATAGGTGATGATTCCATCTAACCCATAGCATCTCCTGTTGGTGTGAATATCAATGAGGTAGATCATGCATTTATTTATTCTACCCTGGGCCAAATTTTTCCCCATGAGAGGAGCAATTAAATCATCATCAATTGAAATATAGAGCTCTTACAGTCTCATTTAAAAAAATGAAAGACATCAACATACCAATAATTAGAAATAAGGGAAAAGAGGATGGAGATACACTGAGCTGTATATCTGATCACTGCCTTCATGACTTGGTGCATAGATTTTTCATGCACTGCATTTGGTAATGCAGTTCTTATTGACTTGAATTTCTTGCCATTCTGTGCAAAATTAAAATTTTTTATGCTTTAAAATTTTCAAAATAATTTCTGTGTTTTCTAGTGGATAGACTTAATCATTAGCTATGGGATTTCATTCAGAGTTGAAGTTTATTGTAATGAATGTATGAGAAAAAGGCATCCCTTAACCTTCTCATAGCCAAAAGTGTGCTTATTCCTGAAGTGAAAACATTCCTGAAGTATTGGCAAAGAAAAAAGTTAACTATGAGGATACTTTCACTTTTGTGGCTACTGAAGGATTAATTTTGTTTTAACCCTTTGCAGGGCAATCCGTCGATCAATGATAATGGATGCAAGGAAATCATCTCCAGAGCCTCAACAACCTCGTATTCCAATAGTGAAAGAGAGAGTAAAAAAGAAGGAAGAAATGTTTGGTGCTGCTCAACTTCCTCTCGACTATCTCCAAATTGGAGGTTCTAGTTTTATGTCAGGAAACTGCTCATCTTCTACCCTGTCTCAACAACACATTCGTCGAAAACGTGACTCAGCCTCTGCCAACATCCATTTTCGAGATCCTTCAAACGAGCGGGAATCCCCTTCCCGAGAGGAACTCCTACGTCGAAGAGGAATTTCTCCCACTTTTCTTCGAAATGTCCCATCAACTCGGCTGGAAAGATTATCCACAGCACCAATGCGACCTATGAGCCCACTGTTTCCCCCAACTTCTCCGTGTCAGTTCCTCACCATTCAGGATGTCTTTCCTCAGGTGAAAGATTCATTGGAGTCTTCAGTTTTTAAATATATATATATATATTCCTTATGATTCCCATGTTTGTGACCAAGAAACTGTCTCATGTATGTAAAATACAGAGCCTTTGTAAAGTAACTGTCTCTGAAAAACTTTTTTATTATTGCATCTGAAGTTACCATTTTTTTCATGTGTGAAGACTGACTCAGACTATACAAGGTATGCTGAAAAAAAGACCAACTACTTTTAGCTCTCAAGCTGATGCTATTTTCTTGAAACTCTCACTATGCATACATGAATATGTTTCCATCTGATTACTGAATTTTCATTCGAATTTGCTGGGCCCAGGGTTGGACTGCCCCACCAGGATACCAGGAAATTTCTCCGGGGCCCCCCCCAGACCTGATAATTATGTGTATATTTTTGGGAAGGAGGGGGGGGGGCCCTTTGTCAGCATTATCCCATGGAGCCCCTAGACTGCCAGTCAGGCCCTGGTTGGGCCAAAGCAATTCTATCGACACTGATTTAAAATAAGTTTGATTTTGGAAATGGACAAGAGCTTCTGCTGACAGTTGAGTGAAGGAAACACTCCAGTGCTGTTCTTCCTAGTCATCAAGACCACATTGAACTCCTTCCATTCATTCTTTGGGTTGGTCATTTCTTGCAGATGTTTTTCATGAGCTTATCAATGAATGGCAGATGAATCAATGAGTATCAATCCAGGGAGTTTTCTGGAAGTTCGTTCACAATTTCTTTTGATTTTTTGAAGGAACAATGATAAACTTGTTATAGAGTATCATTCATAACTTTGATTTGAATGAATGGATTTTGGCAGCCTTCTTGATTTTCCAATAAATTAAGTCGTGCTGAATCCTTAGCAAATTTGGTGAGACATGACTTAAGCAATCATTAGATACACTCGAAGTAGTTCTTTTTTTCATAACCTGCAGACTCTGGCTGATGTAATCAAGGAAAACCATCTGCAAGAGATGACCAACCCAAAGATTGAATTTAACCCATTTTTCACCCAGTGTCTTTTTCCCTTCTAAGCTAGTCTAGTCTAACATATTTAGTTTCAAATTCTTCAGAAAACTCTCAGGTTCACTATGATGTTCATTAGTCCCATCTAGTAATTTTTCATGGCGTGGTATGCCCTGAAATGTTCCACATCACAAGTTTCAAATGCATATCAGTACACTTGTGGTAATCATGACCAGTTGTGATACCAGTATGCTTGCAGATGCAAATAGGTTAACTGGAGGAGGAGTTTGATGTGGTCTTGATAACCAGGAAGGACAGCACTTTAGTGTTTATGTATATGTATTTATCCAATTACCTCGTGAGATTCCATACAGTAAATAGTGCATATAAATGTGAAACCAAGCTTGAGGGGTTGATCATTTTCCAATCAATAACTTTTTAAATTATGATATTGTGTGAGTTCAGAACAACTAATCTAAATCCAGGTGAGATGTAATTTATGTTGATTTAAATTTTTTTCTGGATATAGAGTTTCAGCTGCCCTGGATGGAAGTATTAATACCAAGTTCTGTATAGTTGAAAATATTTAATGAATTTTTTGGGGCAGGTGGTGACAAAGCACATACATCCCAAAGGAGGAAGTGATTATGTTCCATTCATTCAGCCATGTCCCTCAACAAGTGGAGAAATGCAGAGAAGAAATCCTCAGAGGTACAGGCAGAAAGGATCAAGACCAGCACCCTCATCCAGTCATACTCCAAGGAGTAGCAAGAAGACCAAAAAGAAGCGAAGCAAGTCCTCTGTAAAGAAGAATGTTCTTCTTGGAAAGAAAATCCCATAGAGCATTTTTGTGCATATGATATCAATACCTAAGAGTCAAAACCTGCTCTCTCAATTTTTGTTTTTTAAATCAACCATTCTGTCCAGGTTTGCCTCTCTAAAAATGAAGCCATTGAGGTGAAAGACTTGAGAAAAAAAATTTCTTGAGTGATTTGAGCCATTTAACCAATCAATAAAGATAGTTTTCTTTACCAACATGGGAAAAAATTCATATCAAAAGTGAGTAATTATGGAAAATAGCAGGTATTGACTTTTTGTCTTGATGAGTCCTTTGATGTGTGCAATTGGCAAATAATATTATTTAATCTACTCATGTCACCTTGCCAAAGATCTCTTCGACAATTATGGATTATGTAAACTCACTAATCAGCATATCATACCTTTGGATATGGAAATAAATATTTTACATTCCAAGTTCTGCTGCTTCTGTTAAATCTATGAAAGGAATCAAATGCAAGCAATAATACAGGGCATTGGATTCATTTAAAACAAGTTGGACAAGCCCAGTCCAGTAGTGGGCCTCCTTTCAGCTAAGGAAACTCTAATTTTTTCACCTAATTGTATAAAATTCCATCTCTTGCCACTCTTCGACCATCAAAAACCTCATTTCTCATTTATATTTGGTAAACATAGACAAACGGTGCCCATGAAACGATGATGGGAGGATGTAGGGCTGTGCGTGGTTGGACCCACGAAGATTGGTAGGGAATTGACTGCTCTGGTTGCTGACATGGCGCCGCGTCCGAGCCTTGGATCGTACGCGCATGCGCATTGTGGTCCAGAACCTGAAGGGCTCACGGATACTCATGCCTTCAACTCCGGGGGCAAATTTCAAATCCAAAATTTGCAATAAACATGCCAATTTTGGTGCAAATTCACCACTAAACGAACTCAGCCTGTATTTTGTTCATATCTACCCGCTTGCCAATTTTCGCATTGATCAGGCTAATATTTTTTTAGTTATCATCGGGACAACCAAAGTGTGACACAAGGACGGACAGGACGGAAACATAAGTGGTCTCTTTTCTTTCAGGAAAGTAGGCCCACTAAAAAGTAACCTCCTGACCTGGGTGGCATGTACACGTGCCATATCTAATGGGTTTTATTTTTTGTGTCTGAGGAGTGAGGAGGCTAATACAATAGACATCACTTATTTTTATCACTGGTTATTATCTGCCAGATAATGTTATGTGAACAAAAACCAATTCCATATTTCATCCATATTTTTATTTTCTGTATGATATCGCTTCCACCTGATATGATCACATATAGTCTGACCACTTTTTTGGCAGATACTGAATCGCCTGTAGGGGAGGAAAAAGGTGGGGAATCTTGCCCTGGGGTTGCGGGAGACTCGTCCTCGGGGCTGTAACAAGAGAGCAGGAAATGGCACTGAGTAATATTAAAATCTGTTATACAGCCTTGACACCAGTCGAGAGCCTAATGATTTCAATAAAGGGGACTTGATAAAAGTAATAAACTTCGTATTTTCATCGATCGCAGCCCATTATCAGCCACTTAATGTAAAATACTTTGCTCCAATGTGAAAACAATAAGTGGTGCCCACTGTAATTAAATAGGAAGTTTTAAGAGTGAAAAAGCTTGTCCAAAACTGCTGTTACCTTCTGAAATGTAAATTGCAAGTTTGTGGAAAGGGTTCTGTCCCTAGTGGCATGGCCAGAGTTATTTTTTGAAGGGGTCAATGAAGTTCTTTGGGCAGATCTTGAAAAGTGTGAAAGTTGCCGGGGAATTGTAGTTGCTAGGGCGCAACAACAATGTATTAAGCCTCACCTATTCGATGTTTGGGCGAGCCAAGAGAAGCGGGGGAAGGTCCTGGTTCCCCTAGCCGTTGCAAAGATGGCTCAAAGAGATCTTATTGAGAGATGAATCGCTATCGCTTCGAAATTATGAATCCTGAGTCTATTCATGAGTCTCCCGATGATTTTGAGCGAAATCACGAATCTGCACAAATTATTTTGGGATCAACGATTGAAGCTCGAATTTATACAGGGTATGGGGGGGGAATACCAAGATTTAAAACCGATAAATCTTTCCCACTGGAGCTATTTTCGCGAAATTTCCATTGTGGGTAGATGAATAGGTTTTCAACGAATTGCGGTATTTTCCAAATTGAGGCAAAGCTATGAGCAACGATTAAAAAGGAGTTGGACAATTGAAATAGACAGGAACTCGTGCTGATAGTGAAGATCTCGTCCGAGCACTTTGCGTATCATCCAGGCCATATCCAACTTCTCTTCTATTGAAATTCATTTTTTAGACTAGCCTTTTCTTCCTGGTAGTTTTAGTAAGCTTTATTCCATTTAATGACAGTCGTATCAGTATGTATGAAAATAGTGGGCTCACAATTTATTCAGATTTTCCCTTCATCACTGTCACGGAATGAATCAGGAGGACCCGGAACTCGAAAGTATGAGGCACTCAAAAAGGATTTGAGTCCTCTGTCCATTTTGAATTTCCAATTTATTTTGAATTGCTCATGACCCTGCTCTGGCAATATCACTTTGGATAAAATTTTAGATTTCAATTCAGATCCGAATTCCGAGTCCTTCGTGTCTGATCTGAACCGAAACAGGAATCTCACTAAAGTGATGACTCACGAATCCCGAATTTCATGGATGATTCGAATTAAGCCATATCTGGTTTGTGGTGCACTCAGCCCCCTTGGTCTGCTTTGTCTGTCACGATGGATTCATTCCCCCGTAAAGAATATATCAGACGGAAGCCAATGTGCTTCTTCGTCCTGAGGTAGATTTCTTCCCCCCGCCCCCCACCCCCGCAATCCCCCATTCCAGCTTCGCTCGGCAAAAAATTCCCTTCGACATCCTTGGAGAGAGACCCTTCTACCTATAATTAGCACTAATTCTCAGCTTCAGGTCTCAAATGACGCGCAAAAAAAAGAAGCAGTTATTAGGAAGATGCAGTGTGCTAGCGAACTCGGAGGGAGGGGGGGATATCTTGAGAGTGGAACGTGAATTTTTCCTGGGGGAATATATTTCTTAGGGTGAAATTATCCCAGGACACCGACTCCGCCTGAATCGGCTGGCTCATAGACATTCTACAGGCTTAAATTTCGTCTCATTTTTTCTCGAGATGACGACAGGTCTGGCTCGAAATAGGAGGCTCGGGTCCCCCTGTAGAGGCCAATTCCCTGCCAAAAAAAATAGTAATGAACTTGTCATATGGAAGGAAACCCGGGAGAAAGACACGTACACGCTGTCAAAGTCGCTTACATGTTTTCCCTCCGAGACCAGAGGGGTTTGGTTGGTAGCAAACCAAGGATTCAAGTACCTCCCAAAGCACTGTGGGATTCATCGTTATTGAAATTTTCGTCTGAGTAATGTAGTGTTTCAATACTCTTACGCGAATCATAACGTTGCGAAGGCATTGTGAATATTCGGCCTCCTCAGATTTTGAGTCAGGTATACGCCTTTCGGATACCAGGCGATCCAGTCCATATTAGACCCTCTTTTTTTTTTTAATTCCCCGTGAATGTAGTAGGCAGTAAGCCTACCCCGTTCATCCCGGATGCGGAGAAAAAAAAACCGCGCTTTTGCTTGAATTTGTATTTCAGGAAATCGGATATTGCTACAGTAATATACATGTATATACCATAATCTACTGCATCTACATCTTCTCATGTATAGGAAAAATGTTCTGAAATTTTACCCTTCTGATTTTGTGTACTTTAGTTAGTTTAGTTAAACCAGCTGACGGAAAATTCTTTCTTTTTTCATTTATACTGTATTATGAAAAACATGTAGATACACACCTGTTGGAACCTACGCTGCAGCAGCCTCGGTCTTTTTATTTTTTATTCAAAGAAATAAACATTCCAAACAGCTGCGTGTTTTATTCTCTGCAGCCGACACTTTATCTTATATTCAGTGTATTTATTGGATCGAGAGCTCCCAAGCCCGTTAATTTGGACACGGCTCCTGCATGTCTCCGGAGAGACTACCAAAAAGTCTTCCAACCTAAAATGACCGGCAGACCAGTCGGTTGGCCTTGTGCAAGGTGGACGGACTACATCGCGAATCCTAGTCACGAAAGTATTGGCATACCATCCTCCCGTTGCTCATGATAGCGAACACTGGAAGATGCTCCCCACTTCCGCGAGTTGCGGCCACGTGAAGTTGGGATAAGCGGCTTCGAAAATTTATGTACCAGGTCCGTCAATAAATTTTCGGTCTCACCCACAAACGAAGCATTCATAGATTTTATTTTACTATCAATGTTCAATGTAACGACCATACTCAATGACACGCTCCCAACGATCACGCAACATTCTAATACCGAAGTCGTAAAAAGAATCTTTTATTGTCAAACCAACGCCGAAACGATCACGAGCGCAAGCGACAGCTGACAAGATCACGGTTGTGTTCTGGGACAGTAGCGGCATGCTGCTTCTGGATTTTTTGCCACACAAACACGCGGCGTGCTGCCGCTCCACGACAATGCGCCCGTTCACAAGGCTTGTGTTGCACAAGCCTTATGGATGTTGTGTGATGTTAGGAGAGTGTCATTGTGCGCGATGGTCGTTATATTGCTGATTGGTAGTAAATAAAATCTGTCCATGCTTGGTTTGTGGGTGAGGCCGAAAACTTATCGACGGACCTGGTCAGGAGAGTTAGTGATATCAAGAGGCGATTTCGCCCATTTCGATATCACGTGTCGAGGTCGAGCGTTCCTTAATTTTAGGGTAGGCCTAACCCTCTTAAAGCTAAATATTTTTGTATTTTTGTTTGTTTGTTTTGTTTTTTTTTTTTTTTACTATCCTAGTTGCTTACTGTCTAGTACCTACGTCAACATTGCCCCCCACCTTTTTGCCTGTCCATGAAAGCATCTAGTTTCTTCTTAAAGATAGTCACAG